ATAAAATTAAATTTTAAAAAAACTAGCAGTAAGCTTACCTCATTTAAAAGGTCACATTAAAAGGTCATATGTTATAGCTTTACAGTGTTTGGGCTTTTTTTGATAATTTTTTTATTTAAATTTGAAACAAGCTTGTTTTAAATGTCAATCCCAGTTCTTTTACCCTCCCCTCCTCTCCTGTCCTCTCTCCCCTTCCCATCAATCACCATCCCATCCCCTTTCTGCTCCCCAGAGAGAGTGAGGCCTTCCATGGGGAATCTTCAAAGTCTGTCATATCATTTGGAGCAGGGCCTAGGCCCTCCCCTATGTGTCTAGGCTGATAGTATCCATCTATGTGGAATGGGCTCCCAAAGTCCATTCGTATACTAGGGATAAATACTGATCCACTACCAGAGACCCCATAGACTACTCAGTCCTCCTAACTAACACCCATGTTCAGGGGGTCTGAGTCAGTCCTATGTTGGCTTCCCAGCTATCAGACTGGGATCCATGAGCTCTGCCTTGCTCAGGTCAGCTGTTTTTGTGGGTTTCTTAGGACAAGATCTCCCCAGAAAAATGGAAGCATGGGGGGAGGGGAGAAGTAGTTAGGAGAAAGAGATGGGGAGAAGAGGAGGGGAGAGGACGGCATGAGGAAGCAGGAAGATTGAGTCAGGGGAAGAATAGAGGAGAGCAAGAAAAAAGATACCATAATAGAGGGAGCCATTATAGGTTTAAAGAGAAACCTGACACTAGGGAAATGTCCAGAGATCTACAAGGATGACCCCAAGTAACAATCTGAGCAATAGTGGAGAGGCTACCTGAAATACCCTTCCCTGATAATGTGATTGGTGATTACATTATATGCCATCCTAGAGCCTTCATCCAGTAGCTGATAGAAGCAGAAGCAGACACCCACAGCTAAACACTGAGCCAAACTCCTGGAATCCAGTTGCAGAGAGGGAAGAGTGATGAGCAAAGGGGTCAAAACCAGCTTTACCGTATTCTTAAATCACCTATTGCATGCCTTGCTGTAGAAGCTAAGGACCTAGCAGTAATTCAGTCCATGCTGCAGCAGCAGCCATTTTTGCTGACACTAGAAACCAGTTTCTTCAGCCCTCCAACATTGACTGAAGACCAGCAACTCTCCAAGAAGTTTCCACCAGGACTGCTGGGGCACTCAACTTCATGGACTGTGGAGCTGCTAGGTTCTCTGCCCCACCCACCCCAGCAGACAGACAGATATTGCTGGGCTACCCAGCCCCTACTGTATAAGCCAATCTAATAAACTCTTTGTACAACATATGATCATGCCACTGTTTTTGTTTTTCTAGAAAATGCAGACTGATAATCATCCTCAGCAAACCAAAGTCAGAGACATACAAAGCTGACTTGAGAATATACTATAAAGCTATACAACCAGCAGAGCATGGCATTGGCATAGAACTATACACAGACCAGTAGAATGATGTATAGAATCCCTAATTTTATTGCAGGAGATTACATATTATCAAATTACCACAATGTACCCCATAAACATGTATATCTCTATTTTAAAAATGAAATTACTTGGCAGGAATCATGTAAATACTTGGACCCTCATCTATTGTTTTTGTTTCTTACATTGTTTTAGCTTTAAGTTTCTTTCTTTCTTACTGGCATTCCCGCATCACTCTACCTTCTAAATCAAAGGGGTAGAACAAAGAGGTGCTTGTGACCAGGTTTTCACCATTAGAGGCAGAGTCAAACAAGCACTGCTGTCTCCTTGTACAAGGTAAGGAAGAAAGGGAGGTCAGAGCAGGGTGGGCGGAGCATTTGGAGAATTGAGAAAAATATAAAGTAGGAGAGTGTCCTCATACCTAATGGAGTCAGAAACACTGTTCAGTGAACTTCGTCCTCCAGGAATGCTAGACACCACAGAACTTAAGTGTGATTTCTAGTGCCATCTACTGGGAAGCATGGGAACCAGCTAAGACTGGCCTTGCCTACAGAAGAGGCCAGGAACCAGTGAGTTTAATCTCCTGTCACTTAAGGGGGCAGCTTTTCTTGAGACTGGCTCCTTTTCTGCCTGTTCTGACAAGGATTTGAGACTCCTAGGAAGTGGTCTAACCTTCTGTGCTATCTCATGACCATATGGTTCCAGGACCTACCCTCGTAAATTAGTGGGGCAGGAAGCTGCTGGCTTCATAGAGGAAATCGCTCTCTGCAGCAAGCTCATGTCCACAGCTGACTCAAAGAACATCTACTCCAAGAATGTGGGCTAGCAGAACTGAGGAGTGGGCGAGCATGTAGTAAGACCACATTCACCAATTACCAAGCCATGGCTGAACTTGCACCTCAGCACTACACTGCTGACCACTGATAGCTCGTCCCTTTCTAGAGTTTGCCCAAACAGGGACTGAACTTTCAACCTCAGTGATTGTTAAGGTTACCTGGATTATTAGTTTCCTAGGGCTGCTGTAACATGCTACTTTAAGCTCAGAGGAACTCAAACAACATTATTTTATTGTCCTGTGTCTTAGGGGTTCTGTTGCTGTAAAAGAGACACCATGACCATGGCAACTCTTATAAAGGAAAACATTTAATTGGGGTGGCTTATAGTTCAGAGGCCCCATCTACTATCATCATAGTTGGACATGGCAGTGTGCTGACAGACACGGTGCTAGATAGGTAGCTCAGAGTTCTACATCTTGTGTAGGCAACAGGAAGTGAACTGAGACACTGGATGTGGCTTGAGCATACATGACACCTCAAACCCCCCACCCACAATGACATACTTCTTCCCACTCCAACAAAGCCATACCTTTAATAGTGCCACTCCCTGTGATCTTTGGGGACCCATTACATTCAAACTACATCCTGTAATTCAGAAATCCCCAAAATGGATCATTGGCTGAAACTAAGCTATTGGCAGTTTCACCAATGCTGAAGAGTGCAGGGCAAAGAGTCTCATTCTGGAAACACCTGGTTAGTTTTCTTATATTCCCTAACTTCTACAGTCCAACAGTGTTCCTTGGCTAGTGGGTTTGTTCCATCTCCAAGGCCAGCAATAACCAGTGGAGTCTTCCTCATTTCCACCTTGATACTGACACTTCTGTGCCCTTCTGCCATTTAAATAACCTCGTGATAACATTGGGTCCATCTCCATAATCCAAAATAACCTCCACAGTTTAAAATCAACTGATTACCAAGCCTACCTGCTACATTGATTCCCCACCATAGTAGGTTATACCACATTCACAAATTGCAAACATTTTTTGGAGAAGCATTATTCTGCTTACAATGCCAAGTGACTCCAATGTGCAGTAAAGACAAGAACTGTTTCTATACCTACACAAGACAAACTAGGCAAGCCATCCAGTTAGCAAGTGAAAGCATGATAGGTTGGCATACTGAAGATGACTTGGTGCAGGATAAGAGGCAATAGTCAACTTTAACCATATTACATTGCTGCAGAACTTGTTTGGTAGGGACCAATGTATCATATAATATTCTCATCCTGTTAGATGACGATTCTAGAGATTGAAAACTGTATTGTGAGAACCATTGCATCCAACCACCACCATTCTAGAACACTGGAGTTAAAACAAGATGAGACTTTTCAGCATTGACTCCTAGCTATCAGCTTACTCTTTGCAATATGCTGAGAGGTGGGGCTTATACAAGACCCTCTGGCATTCTTCATTTCTATAGGCTATCTCTTAGGTGGAAAATGAAACTTGATGATGCACAGGTTACATGTCTTCAAAATGGCTTTTGATTGGCCAACACTTGAATATACACTAACTTACTCCCATATACACACTTGGAATTTCTGATTCATGGTTTAAAAAAAAAAAAAAAAACTAGGCACACTGGGGAAACCTTTCTGGCCATCTACGGGGCTCCAAGAATCATGGGGGCCTTTGCATGGGTGTTTCTTCTCTGGTTTGCCTATGATCTTCCCTTAGCATTTGTTTTATATCTAACTCACTTCACAATTTGTTAACAGCCTTAGATTTACAACATTCCTTTTCAAGCACCTGCTATGCCCAAAGTTTGGCAGAATTCTTATAAAGGGGGGGAAGGCTCACAAGGCCCCACTGTTATGATAAAGATCAAGGGAACCTTGGTGGATTCCATGTCAGGCGAGGATGACCAAGGTGGGGGACAAACATGCCAGGTAGACAGAGCTTAAGTGAGACATTTTATTAGAAAGGGGAGGGAGGGGGAAGGAAAAAGAGGTAGAGACAGAGACAGAAAGGACAGAAGAGGGAGACAGGAAAAGTCCTGTCTGCCCCAGGGAAACAGTGGGAAATAAGAGAGCAGAAAGAGAGAGCAGAAAGAGAAACTGAGCAGAGGTCTTTCTTTTAAAGGGGCCCTTTGCACCTAGGCTGACCAGGGTACTGCCTGAGTGCATTCTGCCAGGTGACAAGGGCAGGCCAGCATAATGCCTGAATCCTTACACCCACCCCTTCTTAAGGTGTTATATAGTTAACATTTGTGGGATGAGGGTGGAAATACTACTCTACAGTGGTATAACCACTGGTGTTGCTGTTGCTCAAGTAAATAACCCAAACCTATTGTCATGCAAGCAACACTAATTAAATGCAGTGGTCTACCAAGAGAAAAAAAAAAAAATGAAGTTTTTGTTAGGAAAAGGGTGTGTTAAGAGAGAAGATAAGAGAATAACAGGCTAGGGAAATGTAATCAAAATACATTACGTGTGTACCTGTGTGTATGTATGTATGAAATTGTGAAAGAATCATTTTTAAAAATTTTCATACAGACTCATTTGCCTGACACTAATGCAAAAATAAATTGTTCTTTAGCCAGAAAGAAGAGAGAGAAAGTGGCTTTGTGTACATAAAACCTTCTCTGCAAAAGCTAGTGAGTGCCCGGGGAGTCAGATAAGGGACTAGGTAAAAGGTCTGCAGCTGGAGAACATACTGGTCTTCATTGGTACAAATTTCCTTTGTATAGGAAATGAAACTAAAAACTGCTCTTAGGTTTCAGTTACTATAAAAATACTTGAAGTAAACCAATTTGCAAGGAAGAAAGGTTTATTTGGCCTAGTCTGGAGGTCCCAGGCTATGAGTGGGCAGACCCATTGTCCTTGGGCCTGTGGAGAAGCAGGGCATCGTGGAGGGGAAGATGCTGTGGGAGAGCACTTCACTTGACAGCAGCCAACAAGCAAGGACAAAGTCCTTCAAGGGCACAATGGTGACCTAACTTCCTTCGCAAAGCCCCTCCCAAAAGTCCTCCATTTTCCAAAGGGGCCAGGGAATCCGCTTTCAGCATATGACCTTTGGGAAGACATTGAAGATCCACAGTAGCACACTGGCCAACTGTAACTTCTGCCCTTGGTCTTCCCTCAGCCTCCAGAAGCAGATGACCAACCTGCTCTTCTTCCATAATCATACTCTTAAAAAAAAAAATAAACACAATTATCCCCAAGCTGCCTCCCAAACCAAAAGGTGGGAGGGATGTAGCTGAGTATGAAACCAAGAAAAACATGAGTTCTAAAAGAACTGTGCATCATACTCCAGCAGCCAAAAGGTACAAGTCAGTCTGGTTAGAAAGCTGAGAGGGCTGGCTGGCCCCAATCATACAATTGTCACAGTCTTCAGCATATCTGACAGGACATAGGTGTCATCCCAACCCTGCCCAGGCTTCCTCAGGGTCCGCTCCAAAGCCTGAGCCATTTCTAGGAGCTCTGGTGTAGCAAGTTTCTGCTCTGGTTGCAGCTGACAAAACAGGATCTCATTCACTTCACCCTCAATTCGCCGGACATACAGGAGAGGGAAGGCTGCTTTGAGTCCAGCCAGCACTGAATCTTTTAACGCCAAATCGCGACACACGAGATTAAGGATAAAGATACCTGTAGAGTAAGAAGGAAAGAGTAGAATGACCATAGATCCAGACACACACATAAAGAGATACAAATTTCTCTAACAGAGAGAGAAGAAAGCAAGTAGAGAGCCTGCAGAGAACACACAGCACACAAAAGCATAAGGCTTGTGGAAATGTGACGCATTAGAAACCCTTAGCCTTACTTTTTGATGTTTTCCCATAGCTAACACACTACTTCAATATTCTCTATGCCTAAGAATCTTTTTAATAAGAAAGTAGTTAATATCCTCCACAAAAGACAAATGTATCAATTCCACAAGGATGTTATATTCTTGCCACACTTGTCAAATGAGTAGTTACTATCCAGTAAGAAGGCCATGGCCATCTGACTTCTGACAATCAAGGTTGCAATCAACCCAGTCACCAGAGGACTTTTAAAATGCAAAATACCTAGGGGGTTGTGGATGCAGGGTTTTAAGCTCCAATTCTGCATCTCAGCATGGCAAGTCTCTCAACCTAAGTTTGTTCATCTGAAAATGGACTCCTGTGAACACAACGCCAAGTCCAGGGCATCTGGAAACCATGTGAATGGTAGCTAGAGTCACCTAGCTGTTTCAATGTGAACTACTACAACCACATTGTAAACTGGTTGGCCTGACTGACAAAAGCTGAACACCTTCATAAACCGTGAGCAATTACAGGCCTATGTACCTATTTAAGACACTGCAAACAAAGTTAGCAAATACATAGCACACACTAAGACTATTAATGGTAACATTACTTGTATCACCCCCAAACACTGGTGCTGGACAAAGGAATTGTAGCAGCCACATGATAACAATAGCGGTAAAAATGGACAGTATAAACATAACACCATGGTTGAGTGAAAGAAAGCAGACACTTGAAAGAGTATAATACAGGGCTGGAGAAATGGATCACAGGTAATGAGCTCTTCCAGAGGTCCTGAGTTCAATCCCCAGCAACCACATGGTGGCTTACAACCATCTACATTAGGATATGATGCCCTTTTCAGGCATAAAGGTGTACATGCAGACAGAGCACTCATACATACAAACTACATAAGTAAACTTTTTAAGGGTATAATACATGTGACTTCATCTATAGCAAGACACAAGCAGGCAAAACCAAGCTGTGATGACAGTTTAGTGTTTACTCTTGAGAGGAGGAAGAGTTAATGAGGAAGTAAAGGATGAACTTCAGGAAAGCTGGAAACAGTCTGTGTTTGGCGCTGGTAAATAGTCAATTAAAAAAAAATAATAATCAAACTACAAACCAAACTACAAACTACTCAAACATTTACATGCAATTCCTATTAAAGAATAATTTTGTGCTGGATGGCGGTGGCACACACCTTTAATCCCTGCACTCAAGAGACAGAGGCGGGAGGCTCTCTGCCAGCCAGCTCCTTGACAGCCAGGGTTCCACAGAGAAACCCTGTCTCAAAACAAATAATAATAATAATAATAATAACAATAATAATAATTTATTTATGTATACATGTGATGTGGGGGAATGTGCATGCCGTTACGTAGGCCCCCAGAGTCTAGAAGAAAGCCTCGGATTCCCTGCAACTGGAATTAGAGGTGGTTGATGTAGGTTGATGGGAACTAACTCAATCTTCTGCAATAGCAGCGAAGGCTCTGAGCTAACTCTGCAGCACAAATAATTTGTTTTCAAAGGACCCTCCCTTCTTTCCACTCCAAACTCCAGGGTTTCCTACCTTCAGGAGACAGGATGCTTTTGACCTTCTGCAGGAAAAGTTGGTCCACAAATGCCGGGGGAGGACAACTCATTCCCAGTGTCGGATCCTTGCTGTCTACATCAAACATGATCACATCATAGTGCTGCCGTGCTGTAAAAGAGGAGACAGCAGGATAAGATGGCATCGTTTACATTTCTATACACACACCTGCTGGGAGCAACTAAGCCTGAAAGACAGCATGAGCTTTGCCTTTTAAAGACTCAAATGTCACGGTTTAGAGCAGTCTTTCTCATCAAAGTTCAAACTACTCTCCAGCGCAGGTGAGCATTCCTCCGCATCTAAAAGTGCCTTCCAAAGGCACACATTAACAGGCTCGTTCTAGCATGATACATGCTGTGTGTGTGCTTTCTAATGCTGGAAGAAATGAGCATCACCTTAGGAAGTTTCTACATACCTAGAGAATGTGATGTCAGAACCCCAGGGTGGTGGCAAGAGAATGTGAGAAGAGATGGGAAGCCTGTGCTTTTTTTTTTTTTTTTGCCAGCTCCCCAGGTAATTCTAAAAGTATAATCAAAACTGAGAGCCAGTCATCTGGCCAAAGCAGCTAACTAACAAGGCTAAGGCTGACCAAGCATACACTAACTTTAACCAGCAACACCAGGATCCTATAGATGAAGTTAAAGAAGGAACAGGAGACCTATTGAATCTAGCGTTTTAAAGAAAATTAACGTGCACTTTAGCCTATGTCTAAGGTACAGAGAGAAGGAAACCCTGCAATAGCATTTCTCGACCTCACACTGCAGACATTTTGGATTGAAGATTTCCTGTCATCAATGACAGTAATGTTCCCTCCTATTTGTGGCAACTGAAACCATCTCTAGAGACCGTGTCAAATGTCTCAGAGCCTGGAAGTCACTGACTTGTGTGAATATACTTTTACTCTATTTCTGACTTCATCTACAGTTGAATGATTTATTGAAAAAAAAAAAAAAAAAAAAAAAAAGAAATCAACATATTCCCTATCTTTTCTTCTTTGTCTCCTAACCAGCTACAGACTCCAGCAAGGTTACAAGGTTACAAGGTCAGAAGGAGGGACTACTGGTCTGTTTTATTGGATGCTATACCCTGACATAACTAAATCCATAGCCAAATGAACACACAGGGGAAGATTCACAGGGTGTGGACAGCCCCTCAGGAGATGAACTCTAGAGAGCCCTGCAGGCATGACAACCTTGGTCTAACATTCCATAACTAATACTCCTCTAAATGTTGTCAGCCATACCTTCTCCTCCTGCCAGGCCAGTAATGTAGTCCAGGCCATCTGCAATGTGAACCTTCATCCGGTCACTCTGTGAGAAGCCAAACCACTGGGTGGCCACTTCCAACATGGACGGGTCAATCTCAACAGCATCGACACGAGACTTTGGGAAATGATCATGAACGAAGAGGGGGAGGCTACCCCCACCTAGGCCCACTACCAACAATGCCAGAGGAGTCTCTGTAAGAAAAGAAGAAAAGATCATGCCCTGTGAAAACCATTTAAGGACATAAAAACTGATAAGTCTCTAGACATTTGCTCTTTCAGCCTTGGCTTCATTTTGGCTATATCCATATAATGAACCACACACGATATTGTGGTCCCTCACAAACTCCCATGTAACTGGCAGACATCCTATCAAGAGTTCCCTAAGAGATACTGGATAGACTCCCATTCTCGGAAACAGAGGCACAATCTTATTCAGAATCACAATGCAGTCTAAACGCATTGTCCCTCACCTGGTGCTTTATTCAGAGGGCCCAACTACCTTTTCAGACATCCCAATAAAACAAGCCCAATCCATTCAAGTTCAGAAAACAAAGACCCAAATCCTAGCCCTAAGCAGAGAACCACAGTAATCACAAGAGTACTACTACAGGAAACAAACAAACAAATTACCAAAAACAGCTAGACCCTAAGATTAAATATAGTTATCGAGGTAAAGACACTTGTGAGTAGTAAACACACCAAGCTGCTTGTTAGTGTAAAGTTATCGTTTTAACTATAAGAAAAATTGTAGGCCAAACAATGGTGGCGCACTCCTTTAATCCCAGCACTGGGGAGGCAGAGGCAAGCAGATCTCTGTGAGTTCAAGGCCAGGCTGGTCTACAGAATGAGTTCTAGGACAGCCAGGACTGTTAACTGTTACATACAAATGTGAAAATTTATAAATAACTTAAAATTTAATGGATAACTTAAAATCTGTGTGCTTCACATACCTTGCTGAATATATATTTATACCTTAACTTTAAAGTAAAATAAACAGAAGAAAACAAAGCTTATACCCCAACACAAGGAGCTATTTCAAGATGCCAGGCTATTTGAGGCAAGTTACCCATAAGCTCATTAGTGGAGAACATAGTTCAGATGAGGGAGGATAGGTACCTATGTGCATCTTCCAGTCTGTATTAACTGCATAAGTGACATGGCAATAAGCTTAGCCCTCAGTCTTACATGCTCTGCCTGTGGAAGGCATCTCTTACCTAAGAGCAACTCTGGGTTTCTTAGCAGGGCAAGGCCAGCGATCATGGCTTTATGGTGTTCACAACAGAGGTAACTCTTATCGATGGACTGTCCTGGGACAGGAGGGAAGTCCTCGGGAGTATCAGCAGGTCGCTGTTTCTTCCTCTCCTTTTTCCGTTTCTTCTGGGCTAAAGGAGAGAGTCACACTCCTGAAGTCCTAGGCTTCTTACACTAGCCCTTGGAAAGTAAGGGCTACCAGCAGCAGTGTGCTGCAACAGCTTTAAACAGAAGACCCAACTGTTCCATAAGCAATTTTGCTGCAGATTGGTTGACACTGTATAGATAGGCTGAAATTGACCATTGAGGGAATTATTTATACCATAGAAATTGGCAAAATCTACAAATCAGACTCCCCTCACACAAAGACACAGTTGTTTTAACATTCACGATATAGTGCTGACTACCAGAGAACCAGAAAAGGTAGACAGCAAAAGCACATTCAAAACCTGGAAATACTAACTAAAGGGTCTTAAGGGCCTTCCCTCTGAGGATGTAAGACCCAGTACAGAAGGAAAATGGGCTCATTATTCCTTTACAGAGATGCACAGTCATTACTACCTCCCCAATACCACTTACTGTACCAAGACTTTTTAACACTTCTTACTCTTAGCTCTTCTCATAACTGAGCATCTCAGATATTCAGTAAAGTACACACAATTAACAGGAGGTACAGTTAAGACATGAACATACGACTGCTTGTGTCCCTGTATCTACCATCCTCCTACTATGTCTCCTGGATCATATACTATACTACGCCACCCCACTAATAAGGAAATTACCTGAAACTCAAACTGGAAAGAGCAAAATTCTCTTCAGCCATTTGACTTAGGTGTGGGATGAGATTAAGGAACCTGCAGCCTGAATTACCAGATGAGAGGGTGGGAGCCCACAAGCATGGAGAATGGGCCAAAGAAAATCATTCTGAGAGTATGGGATAGGGTGAATCTGTGACCTCAGGAGTCTGGACTTCTCCCTCCAACTTCTTCCAGATTTGCTGTGATGACAGCATGGTCAAACAAAAGCAAGGAATGGAAATCAAGACAACCAATTTCAGATTTTTGTGACCAAAGGGAAGTTAGACTGCAGAGGGGGAGGACAGAAATATTTACTTTTTAATCTAAAGCAATTTTTTTAAATACTAGTCTCACTCTATAATCCTGTCCAGCCTGAGGTCTGGAAATTGATTAGTAGGCCAAGTGGCCTTCTGAGTACTAGGACTAACACAATGCCCCACCAAACCCAGCCTTAGTTTTTACATTAAGTGCATGATTTTAAATTAGTCACAATAATACAAACATATATAGCCAGGGGACAGGAGTAGGTAAGACAAAGTAGTGATTTCTCCTCAGTGAGATCTCTATGTAACATCTTACATATACTTAAGAGTGGCCCTCGGTGGTTAAGAACACTGGCTGCTCTTATAGAGAAGCAGAGTTCAGGCCCCACCCCAAGACCCACACCAGACAGTTCATGGCTGCCTATAACTCTAGCTCCAGAAATCTAATGTTCTCTTAGGGCCTCCACGGGTACCTATATCACAGCACGCGCGCGCGCACACACACACACACACACACACACACACACACACACACAATTTTTTTACTTAAAAACAAAATCTTAAAAAAAGGAAATGAATGAACCTGAGGGAGGCCTGGGTCTCACTGACCAACAATATAAACATCAGACAACTGTGACCACATTAAATATAAATTAATTAAAATTCAGACCAGTGTGGTGGCTTATGCCTGTAATCCTAGCTTAGAAGACTGAGGCAGGGGGACTGCTGAAAGTTCAAGAACAAGCTAAAGACTGAGACTATCTCAAAAATAAAATACATAAATAAAAATCAAGTTCTAACCGTATTCCATGTGCTCTGCAGTCACTTCTAGTTTGGGGCTTAACACGCTAGAAAGGAAGCGCAGAAACTATTTTCTTCACAGCACCCAGTTCCACCCAACAGTGCTGCACTAGATGGCAGGCGAGGCACCCAACTCTAAATCCCTCTGAAGCAGACAACCACGAGCATGCTATGGAGGAGCGCAGAGCTCCATGCAACCTTCGTGTTTCTGGCTCATCTCCAGAGGGGCACAGAGGGATGTACATTTAGCAGCCTATAAAACAGATTCCCTTTAAACTGAGGCACTAAAGCCATAATCAAGTTTATCCAGTCCACTGCCCCTACTGCTTATCATTTCAGAGCTAGGCTTTGCTCAAGATGTGAGCAAATGCTTCTGTTTGCTTATTTCCACTAGTACCCTGCCCCAATGGTGGGAAAGGAGAGCTTCGGTTTACAAAGATCCAGCTCTGCCCTCCATCTTGGCCAAGCTCTTAGTTCTTTTTAAGCACTCTAAATAAACTGAGTCTATCCAGACACAGTCACATCTGTGATGCCTCACCTCTGTGAGACACATCCTTCAGCAGCCTGGCTTCCGACTGCACCACGTTCCTGTTGCTGAGGAAGATGAGCCGCCGAAAGTACCACCTATCTTCCCCTTGCACATCCTCAATAACATAGTCACCACTCAAGGCACTGTGGTCTTGGTGCTGAACAGTCCGGACTCCAATGTCCCCGCCCACAGACAAGAAGGGAACCTGTAGGAGCAGAGATGCAGAAAAAAACATCAGCTCAATTAAGAAGTACGTGACACTATATACTACACTTTGGTTAAACATGAAAATTTCCCCATGCCAAGGACAACGACAGCTCCCAGAGACTTGCCTTTCTAACCCAGTGCTCTCCTGGGCCTTTCGACAGAGACCAAAGGTTTGATCCACTTTAGAAACCCAAATGAGGGGCTGGAGAGATAGTTCAGCAATTAAAGACACTGGCAGCTCCCCTAGAGGACTTGGGTTCAATTCCCAGCACTCACATAACAGCTCACAAAACTATAACTTCGGTTCTGGGAGATTGGACACCCTCACACAGGTATACATGCAGGCAAAACAACAATACACATAAAATAAAAATAAATAAAAACTCTAATGAACACACAGACATCCCCTAACCACTACACACCTGCACTTGGTGCTGCCCAAGAAAAATGTAAGATTTTCATCAATAAGCACACACATTCCCCACAGCTCAGGACATCAATGAACAAGACAGGGCTATCAGGAAGAGGCTGTGATATGTGGGAAGGAATCCAGACAAGAACAAAAATGACAAAAGACCAGGGGAAACAACAACCCTTCCTCTCCTCAACTTAGTCTCATCTTTTGCCCATTTTTCCTTATCTCAGGATGAGAATGTGTTTCCCCCTGAACTTGCTCCCTCTGTTTCTTCTTAAAGACCTCCCAGCAAATTTTCTAACTGCCAATAATCCCCGGCCTTGCAGCGTTGGGGAGGAGAGCTCACTAGACAATCTGGGCCTTCATGAGGTAAGTATCTCTAACTGATAACAGCCCAGGAGTCTGTCAGAAAAATCAGAGTCCTCAAACACAGGTCACCATTTTAGATCCACACTGTCACACCAACCCCTCGGCTTCCCTAACTTCTTATAACAGGCCTGTCAATTATTCATGGTGACAGATGACAAAAGACAGATGTCAACTGGCAATACCATTTTTTTGTCATAACTTTGTTTCCTTTTCAGATATGCTAATACCCAGAAGTGAGCTGTTTAAGTCTTCTCTTTTATATCCTCACATGATACTTCTGAGACACAAAACATCTAGGGACATCCAGCCCCACTAGGAGCTGGAAAGATGGCTCAATGGTCAAGAAGCCTGGCTACTCTTCTAGAAATCCAATCCTCAGCACCTACTTAGCAGCTCACAACTGTCTATAATGGTAGTCCCATGGGATCTGATGCTCTCCTCTGGTGTGCAAACATACATGCAGAGAAAAAGCCCATATAATTAATATATTAATATAAACATATATATATATGTGTGTGTGTATATATATATATATATATATACACACACATATGCATAATATATATTTTTTTATTTTTTTTAATATGAAAAAGAAAAACACAGGCCACCAACCCAGAGGCTATACTAAGTATGCCTTTCTTTGCTCTATAAGTGTGTGTGCATATTAAAGAATTAATAAAGAATTAAACCCAAGGCCTTATGCACAATGGGTAGGCCTATTGCACTCTACAACCTTAGCCTCGAGAGCAGTTCACCTTTCTCTCTCTGGTGGGAAACATTTAACTCTCACTTGACAATGACTCTCCAAACAATGGTCAAAATGTAGTCCTAACTTTCTTCTTTAACTTTTTTAAATATAATTTTATTATTTTATGTGCATTGGTGTCTTGTCATGGGTGTCAGGACCCCTGAAACTGCAGTTACATACAGTTGTGAACTGCCATGTGGGTGCTGGGGATTGACTCTGGGTCCTCTGGAAGAGAAGCCAGTGCTCTTAACCATAGAGTCAATCTTCCAGCCCCTTAATTCTTATGTTACCATACAAAGTAATGGGTTTTATCATGGCCTCTCTATGCATTGTTATTATATTTTTGTCCTCATCTGTTTCCCTCCCTTGTCCTGGCCTTTTTAAGGCTCCTTCTGCCTTCCTAGCTGCAGATGGAACTCCAGAAACCAGCGAAAGGTGCCGCTGAAGTTTTGGTACCTGCTGCTGGGGAGGCATCCCGGCTGGGGCCAGCTCCATGACTCTGGTTGACAGCTCTGCTTGAATGCTTTCCATGCCATCATACTGCTGGCCTCTATGAAGAGCCACTGTGACCAGCCTCCTGAAGCCTGCACTCGCCGCCAACTGTTTCCGGCCCTCGTCCATGCCAAAGAGCCACTCAGTCTCCCTGCCCTGGGGTACTGTAATAGACAAAATTGGTTACAGGGGCAAATAAACGTTCAAGCTTCAAACCGATGTAGTTCACATAGCAAAGCCAATAGCTGCTTAGGACCAGCTTCGTTCCTGTGACCCACTGACAGGTTATCATTCCCAAAGCAGAGCAACCCAACAAACAGGAAGCAGCACTAAGGGTGATACACGTGATACAAGTCTTGGGGATCAGGGGAGACCAGCAGAGAAAAAAAAATGCTATTTTATCCATGCAGGCCTGATTCCAAGCTGTTTAAAAAATACAAATAATGGAATCCTCACAAGGGCTCAAAATGAACATGACATCATTTCCATTTTTACAAATGAGCAAAGAGAAGCACAGAACTTAAACTGTTTGTCTAAGTCCATACAGCTAGTGAACGCAAAGCTCGGACTCAACCCCAGACGGTCTGGCCCATCACCACCCTCCTATCCACCCCACTACTCATTCCACAGGTGGACGGTAAGGATTATGAAATATGTGGAAAGATGGCTCACAGCTGGCACCAACCAGTCCAGCCTTGCCTCCATTAATCCACATTCACTGAAGAACTAACATTTCTATACAATGTGGAATGGATCTAAATTGGCACTTACTGCCTCCTGCCTCCATTCTCAAAGCTTCTATAATGGAGTATGAAAAGAACAGGCTCAAGTCTAAGAAGGTTGCTGGAGGCCTATTACTCCCTTTCGTCATAAAATTCAAATCAGCCATGACATACCCAATCACCAATACCCAAGCCCAATCCCAGCCCCTACAAGCCAGCCCTTCCAGGGAAAGAGGTGGAACAATCCCAACTCACTGATGAAAATGGCAAAATGACTGTCCCGCGATGGTTTCACAGTGGGGTTGTCCACCACGTGGAGGGTGTAGCGTGGCTCCCCAGTGTCCCCATTGCACAAGTCCAGAGATACACTCCCCAGCCCAGCCTTGCGGCGCAGCTGGCTGCACAGCCAAGCATAGTGCTGCCGCTCCCGCACGGCCTCGGCCAGCCGATCGGCACTCTCCAGCCGTACAGGCTTGCCCTGCTCCTGAGTACACAGCTCAAAGATGTGAAGGGCAGAGCCAGGGACTGGCCTGAACTTGGTCATGACGAAGGCAAAGACAGGCAGAGAGAACCGAGGCTCTGCTTCGAACACCTGGTCCTGGCTGTTGGCCACTTGGTGCACCCTCACCATCCACCCCTCCCGAGAGAAGTGACCCACTGCTTTCTTCAGGATGTGAGCCTGAGCCAGGGAGATGCAGAGATAGCGACCGCCCACCTGCAGGACACGGCCAACCTCAGCCAGCATCCTGTCCACCTGCTGCAGGGTCTTTTCCTCCTCGTCGGTCAGGACAGCATCCAGCGTGCCCTTGTCCAGCACCACCTGGAACGTGGCATCAGGAAACTCCATCTGTGTCATGTCCATCTTCAAGAAACTCATGTGGGGCCGTCGGCTGGCGTTGCGCTCTTTCATCTGCTTGATGACGACCTCACTGATGTCAATATTCACTATATCGTGATAGCCCACATCATATAGTTGCTCACTTAGCTCTGAGTTGCCGCATCCAATCACAAGCACCTAGAGGAAAAACATCATATACAAAACGGAAGTGACCAAGGCAAAGACACGCTGTTTGATACTTCAGAGGAAAGTCTCACCTTGTCTATTTTTTTTTTTTTTTGCAATATTTTTAAGTTACTTGATTGCATGGTTCTCAACGTGTGAGTCTTGTAGATGACAACCTTGTATTTCAACGTCAAAAGCTAGGCACACGTAAAAGGAATTCACTAATCTAAACAGTATTTTGCCACAATAAAGGTCATGTAAGAACAGGCTTTGTGATGTGTGCTATTCAAAAATTAATGTGTGGCTCGAGAGATAGCTCAGGAGGTAAGAGCACCTACAATTCTTAGAGAGGACGCAAGTTCAGCTCTCAGCACCCACATGGCACAGCTTGCAATTGCTTATAACACATTCCAGAACCAGATAGCCTCTTCTGACCTCCACAGGCTCATGTACTCACATGAGCCACATAAACTCACGATGGCAAACACGCATATGCATAATAAAAATAAATAAGTAAATGTTTTTTTAAGTCTGTAGGAAGTTGCAAAACACAAACACACTAGCTGCAATACTGCTTTTCCATTATAAAGGCAGCCTCCATAACTGTCTCTATGCACTCATGCTTCACATTTCCCAGATAATAAACTCCAGTTTGTGAAACTTCAAAATCTGCCCCATCACAGATTCTATCTGATGATATTTAGCTATCCTTCTGAAGCCAACACTAAAACCCAAATTACTATCTCTCTCTGTGGCACAATCTTCCATTCATCTTTGAAAAAGTTTGCTGTCACCATCTCTGGAAAAGCATCCTTTGGTGAGAAGTGACTGAGCTCTGGGGCCAGAAAGATCCACTTTTAAATCTCCATTTGGCAACCTACTACATGTGTGACCTCCAATATTCCCCTGTGAAAACAAGTGCGGCTAAATTTGCTAAAAATAAAAAGATTGCCCACAACAAATGTTGTTTTCTTCCCTACTGCCAATACAACCCCATCTCTTCTACGCTCACTATTAAACTTGGAACTTTTCTCTTTCAGAGTGTGTGCAATTTATGCCTTCTTGCTCCTGTAGCTTGAGTGCTAGGGACAATGTCTGCAATTTGATGAGCACTCAGAAGTGACTTGATTAATAAAAGTTTGTATCAACAAAGCCACACAGTACTGCCTAGACCACATTCGTGCACAGTGACAGAACACCTTTTTAGGCTACTGACGAAGTCATCATTCCAAAAAGGTCATAAGCTTTTTTTTTTTTTTCTTTTTTCTTTCTTTTCTTTTCTTTTCTTTTCTCAAGACAGGGTTTCTCTGTGTAACAGTCCTAACTGTCCTGGAACTTGCTTAGTAGACCAAGCTGGCCTTGAATTCAGAGAACCTCCTGTCTCAGCTGGGCCTAAAGGCGTACGCCGCCATGCCAGGCTCAAGGATCACTTTTGACTGAAAGCTTTAAAAGGCTATTTTAAAGTTGTCATTTGACCAAAATGCTGCACCGGTTCCTGAATTGTGGACCCGAGTAGGGTACCCACGCTTGTCTGTCTAAGTTTAGAACTGCTATCTTCAGTCTCCACTGAGGGTTTCCTGGACGCTCATCTTACCTTCTCCCTGGGCTTGATGTATTTGTGCAGTACCTCGCACAGTTCCAGATAGGTTCCATACCATTCGAAAGATTTCTTTCCTCGCTGCTGGAAGAACTTCTCCCAATAGTCAACAGAGCCAAACTCCTTGGAGCTTTTAGGTAGGAGATTCATGTTCCCACGGCGAGCTGTGTCTTCGAGACCACTGCTGGTGACAGATCCACGAAGGGAACTCACCACAGGAAGCACCGAGATACAGCCGCGGGGATCTTAACCACTACAGACACCATTGATTCGCCCCGCACTCAAAACCCAACCGAACGCCCCTACGCGGCGCACGCGCGCTCGCCTCCGAGTTTCCCACGCGCCACCCCCTTCTTTGCACCCTCAGTACGGGCCCCACGTGCAGCAGCCCCACACTCTGCTACTCTCAGAACCCAGCAAACACATCCGGGTAAGACGCCTCGGGATTGGTCTGGCGCCCATACCAGACCAGCAGCTCATTGGTCAGTGTGTCTCATTTCTGGCACATCATTGGCTGGGACTCTCTCGCCCTCGGGCTTGATCGTAGGCGTCGCGCGCTTTACCCAAGACGATGAGGGTGGGCGGGACTTCCTGCCAGAGTACGGGCGGAAGAGGCCAACTGCCTGGAGCCGGGAGCGTCTGCGCGCGCCGCCACAGCGGGCTCTGAGACACTGCACCCCATCGCCGGCTGAGGGCGCACGGGCTTTGGTAGCTCGCCCTGTCGCGGTGGGATGGCGTCTAAGAAGCACAGGAGCTGGAGGCCCAGGAAGAAATCTCTCTTGTTCATCAGGGTGGAATCCTTGGGGCGCGTGTGCCTGTCTGTCATTTCAGACCTGCACAGCCCAGCGCTGTTTCTTTCCCCATATTCTCTCCCCGGACTTCCTTAGCCACCGCTGTTGGTTAATTCAAAGGAAAATGACTACTTTTCTGCTCCAAAATATGGGGCTTCGCTATCAATATTGTAAACGATGTAAAATTTTAGGAGGAAAGACTTAACAACTTTCATAGGTGCCTCCTTTCCCCTCTCTCTCGCCCCTCAAAACACAGTAGCCATAATTAACATGTCCATTTTATTATCAACTTCCTTAAATTGTCATGTTGATGCCAGCTGTAAAGGTATATTTTATGTATGATAAGCATACTATCCTTTCAAATATTCGTTGTATGAAAACATTCCAAGGAGGTTCCTGGTGAAGGGCTGTTTTTGAAAAGACGTTGAAAGAAACAGCTCTCACGATAAAGGCGTGCGAGAGATGGTTTATTCTGGAGCCAAATATGAGTGACCATAGCCCAGGAACACAAATTTAGATTCCTCAAATACTGTGTTCCCATGAGGTGGCATTTTCATGGACCTTTTTACAGTAACAACGCAGAAAGTAGTAAGATGACACACTTCCAAATACATTGGTTGGTCTATAGTGAGATAATTACAACCAAGTGGAAAAGCTGGAGGTCTATTCCTGCTTTCCAGAGGTCTTACATTATGGTCACAAAAGATGTTAAGTCATGCACAGAGGACGGCCACCAAATGGCTATTTTTAAGGAGGCTAAAGATGTCCTTAGAAAATTTGGCTCTGGACTTGCACCATGTCAACCTCTTCACATAGCTGAAGTTGTGGTCAATGAGCCCTTGAGGACACAGCTTCTTTCCAGTAAATCTTGTTCACAGCCTACACAAAGTTGCTAGCACAGACACTAAATAGTTAGGATAGACATCATTTTTTAATTTAATCTTCAAACATTTTATAATCATCTATTGGGCATTTATTTATTTATTTATTCATGTGTGTGTTTGTTTTTTGAGACAGGATTTCTCTGTAATACCCCTGGCTATCCTGGAACTCACTTTGGAGACCAGGCTGGCCTCAAACTCACAACAAAGATCCGCCCTTCTCTGCCTCCCAACGGTTGGAATTAAAGGTGTGTGCCACCACTGCCCAGCTGGCTTTTTTTATTGAATTTTTTTCCATACAATATATTCTGATCATGGTTTATCCTCCCCCAACTCCTCCCAGATCTTCCCCATGACCCCCCAACACACACACTATTTAGCAAGCAAACAGGCAATAAAATAAAGCACCCAGAATTTTAAAGAAGACAGAAGAAACACATACAAACATCCCATCAAAACACACGATTAAAAACCATAATATATTGGCAAAAGACCATTAAGGGAAAAAAATGTCTAAACAAAGCAGTATAAGAAGGAAAGTATATGAAAATACCCTTGAGTTTGTTTTGTGTTGGCTATCTACTGCTAGTCTCCAGGCCTAATCTTAAGTGTGGTTAATTTATCCAATTACATGGCCTTGGAAAATATTAATCTTTCCTTTTCAAGCTGGTATCGATTGCAGATATAGCTTCTTGATCAGGTATGGATGCCAATGTCCTCTCCCCCCACTCACAGCTGGACCTTTGCAAGCCCTTTGAGTTCATGTGTGTGTCAGTTCTGTTGTGTCTGGAAGGCAGTTTCCTTGGAGTCATCTGTAGTGCAAATTCTAATTGGTCTTAATAATAAAAACATAGAGTCAGATATAGGGGCAAATGCAGAAAATAAGACACAGCCACTTCTTACCTCTACTGAATCCTCAGACCAAAGGGTTGAGCTTATATTTCTACATAGTCTCAGACTGAATGAGTCCCAGATCCTGTCTCCACCCACCTTACATTCCCATCTCTACCTCCCTAGTGCTAGGATTAAAGGCCTGTACCTCCCAAGTACTAGGATCAAAGGCATGAGATCCCAGGTACTGGGATCAAAGGTATGCAGCACCAAGGCCTGGTCTCTACAGTTAACTAGTGCCTAGCTCTGCCCTCTGATCTTCAGGCAAGCTTTATTTGTTAGAGCACAAACAAAATATCACCACAGTTATCCATCCCCTCTGGCTCTTAGAACCTGTCTGCCTTCTCTTCTGCATAGCTCCCTGAACCCTGAAGGGAAGAGTTTGATGAAGTTGCACCATTTAGGACTCAGTATCCAAAATCTCTCAGTCTCTGTACATTATCCAGTTTTGGGTCTCTGGGTTAGTTCCCATCTATTTCAGAAGGAAGCTTCTCGAATGGTGGCTGAGCAAGGCACTGATCTATTGTAGAAGAATGTCTTTAAGAGTTGTTTTACAAGCCAGATGGTGGTGGTGCATGCCTTTGATCCCAGCACTCTGGAGACAGAGGCAGGCACATCTCTGTGAGTTCAAGGCCTTCGTGGTCTACAGAGTGCTTTCCAGGACATCAAGGCTGTTACACAGAGAAACCCTGTCTCACAAAACAAAACAAAAAGAGTCCTTTTATTAATATGTTGCTTTAACAGAGCAATAATATTTGGTTTTCCCTTAGGTCCATAACTATCCAGTCTAAGGTTCATGGCCACCATCAGGTATAGATCTCATCTCATTGAGTGGGCCTTAAATCTAATCATAGAGTGGTTGACTACTCCCACAACATTTGTGCACTAGCATATCTTAGATGTGGGTCAGCATTGTAGATTGTAGGATTTGTAGATGGGTTAGTGGTTACCTTTCTCTTTTAGTAGCATACAGAGTACCTTCCAGTAGCATGAACACCAGTCAGTGAGGGCTGAAGGCTCCCTACAGGACTTCTTAAAACAGTAGATTGGTGAATTGCTCCATCTCACCCCAGCAAAGTTTTGATTCTTTAGTTCAGTGGTGAGACCCTGAGATTTGTGTTCCTAACAGGTTGCCAGATGATGCTTTATGCAGATATCATCCCTGAGCTAGTGTCAGATCCTTCCAGGCACGCCCCTTATAATGGTATCACTCCCAAACCACACTTTGAAAACCATTGCTTCAAAATTGAATTGAGTGATAAATAAAAATGGATATGGTGTGAGACAGGATAGAAAGGCAGGACAAATTAAGGGGGTATAGGGAGAAAAAGAAGCCCCTCCCTTGGAAATGTAGTCCTGATTCCTAGCTGAAAGTCAACCACAAAACCAAACCAACAAACAAACAAAAACCATCAACACAACTGATAAAGCCGGAATTACCTACAGAGATTATGCTAGTTTTCCTACAGATATATCAAACAAGGATTTTTTTTAATATAAAACAAGGATGTGGAAAACAAGCACTGCTTACATAGCACCAGATTGTTTGAAACCTTGGGTTTAACAGTATTAGCACTCCTCTCTCCTCTCTAAACCTGCTAGACCCTAGTTCTGGGGTCCTGATGGGCTGATGGGAGAGCCCCATGACACAAAACCAAAACCAGGAGATGCAACAAGCAAGTGGTGTTTATTGAACAACTGCACTTGAGTGTCAGCAATCTTGGGGAAAGCTGCACACCCCACAAAGGGTTTAGGCTCCTTTTTATAGAGATAAACCACAAATCAGCATACATGCATGGGCACAAGGTGATTGATTACAAAGTATGACCTCATGTTTGAGAGATCACCCAGGTGTGATCTGTTCTTATTCAAGGGATAAACCATAGAATGACTTGGAAAGTCCCCAGACTGTCCATTGCCCAGGAGTGACCCAAACAGGGCTGTTCATCTGGAATCATTTGTTCCAGGGTTGGGGGCCTATTTCTTTGTTGTGGGCCAAGACGTGTGAGAAACATTTTTCATACTCTGACTTTCTCCTGGCTGTACATTTAGAGCCTTCAGTTATTCCACAAAGGTTTGATGATTTAGTAACTAGCCCTATTTAACAAGATCAGTCTAGCATATAACCACTAACCCCATCACCATAGTAACCTTTCTTGTTCTCGTAATTCCTGTTTTTTCCTCCCATGTCAACGTTCATTTTTTTATGATTTTCTATACTCTGCTTGCAAGAATTATTCTCTTGACCCTTTCCTACATCCTTGCTCTGAAAACTAAAATCTTTCAAACCCAAAAGATATTTGACATAAGACCGCCTTAAATTTTTATTTATAAAAAAATCCTTAAGATGAGGAAAATGAACTAGCTCATATTACCGTACCTAACTCTAAAGTTCTGCTTAATTGTTAATCCTTGTTGTGAATTACATTCTTGGAGCAATGGAACTCAACAATAAAGTCTTATTACACAGTCATTGTAAAGACACATAGGTGGTACTCTCATGAGAAGGCCACACCCACACTTGGGTATATTCTGTCCTTTTCTTATGTATCTCTTTCTAAAAACCAGTGCTTAAATTTAAATTGTGTGCTCTGTCATTTATACACAATAAATTCACTACTTTTCCTTCACTCTGACTTGTCTTGAAATTCTTTTCTGAAAAGTAGTCAAGAATTAGAACTCCCTGGGCCATTGATGGCAGTTCTGGGATGTCTTCTCACCACTGATAGTTTTAGCTCCACAGTTTTCAAAG